GTCTGTGAGCTATGCTTATCTGTCAATGCCGTTTGCCACGTGAGTGCATCAACCTGTCTGTGAGCTATGCTTATCTGTCAATGCCGTTTGCCACGTGAGTGCATCAACCTGTCTCTGACCTGTGCTTATCTGTCAATGCCGTTTGCCACGTGAGTGCATCAACCTGTCTCTGACCTATGCTTATCTGTCAATGCCGTTTGCCACGTGAGTGCATCAACCTGTCTGTGAGCTATGCTTATCTGTCAATGCCGTTTGCCACGTGAGTGCATCAACCTGTCTGTGAGCTATGCTTATCTGTCAATGCCGTTTGCCACGTGAGTGCATCAACCTGTCTGTGAGCTATGCTTATCTGTCAATGCCGTTTGCCACGTGAGTGCATCAACCTGTCTGTGAGCTATGCTTATCTGTCAATGCCGTTTGCCACGTGAGTGCATCAACCTGTCTGTGAGCTATGCTTATCTGTCAATGCCGTTTGCCACGTGAGTGCATCAATCTGTCTGTGAGCTATGCTTATCTGTCAATGCCGTTTGCCACGTGAGTGCATCAACCTGTCTGTGAGCTATGCTTATCTGTCAATGCCGTTTGCCACGTGAGTGCATCAACCTGTCTGTGAGCTATGCTTATGTGTCAATGCCGTTTGCCACGTGAGTGCATCAACCTGTCTGTGAGCTATGCTTATCTGTCAATGCCGTTTGCCACGTGAGTGCATCAACCTGTCTGTGAGCTATGCTTATCTGTCAATGCCGTTTGCCACGTGAGTGCATCAACCTGTCTGTGAGCTATGCTTATCTGTCAATGCCGTTTGCCACGTGAGTGCATCAACCTGTCTGTGAGCTATGCTTATCTGTCAATGCCGTTTGCCACGTGAGTGCATCAACTGACCCATGATGTCATGCGTTTTCATCCATGCCATTCGCCATGCGCCTGCATGATGCCATGAGCGTGCATGATGCCATGTGCGTGCCTGATGCCATGCGCGTGCATGATGCCATGTGCGTGCATGATGCCATGTGCGTGCCTGGTGCCATGGGCGTGCATGATGCCATGGGCGTGCATGATGCCATGTGCGTGCATGCTGCCATGCGCGCGCCTGATGCCATGCGCGTGCCTGGTGCCATGCGCCTGCATGATGCCATGTGTGTGCATGATGCCATGTGCGTGCATGATGCCATGTGTGTGCATGATGCCATGTGCGTGCATGATGCCATGCGCGTGCGTGATGCCATGCGCGTGCATGATGCCATGCGCGTGCATGATGATGATGCCATACGCGTGCGTGATGCCATGGCGTGCGTGATGCCATGCGCGTGCGTGATGCCATGCGCGTGCCTGGTGCCATGCACGTGCCTGGTGCCATGCGCCTGCATGATGCCATGGGCGTGCATGATGCCATGTGCGTGCTTGATGCCATGTGCGTGTGTGAGGGCATGTGTGTGCGTGATGCCACGTGCGTGCTTGATGCCATGTGCGTGCGTGATGCCATGTGCGTGCATGATGCCATTTGCCCATGCATCCATGACGTCATGATTCAAGTTATGCATGATGCCTTGCCATGGTAAGCCCACTGCGTCACGTGAGCCATGATGCATGCTTCGCGCCACCAAGAACAATGCATCTTTGAGCCATGCTGCGTGCCTTGTCCGTGCACGCGCCACAACCACCCTGCATCTTGAGCCCCATGTCCGTGCCTCACTCTGCCACCCTTCCCCGCACACTGCAATGAGCTTCTAGACTGCCCCGCCACTCTACCCTCTCCTGCACCATGCTCTCTCCACCCCCCACTCGCTCCCCTCTTTTCTGCCACCCTCCCCTACAGCGAGCAGGGCACATGTCCGCTCTCTCGTCCTGCCTGCCTCTCTTCGTCCTAGCCCCTGCCATCATATTTGCTTATCACCTCTCCCGCCTGCACTCTCGCCTACTTTCCTCCCACACTCCCCCACCCCCCACTCCCATAGCACTCACTTGACCCGCTAGCCCCATTGCAGCCGCTCTCCAGTCGCGCCGGCCTGTCTCTCCCTAGTTCTGTTTGGGACGTCTCAGAATCTGGCTGCCTTCCCCCCACCCACTCTCGCTCTCTCCCCCTTGCAACCGTTCCGTGGTCGCGCCGGCTGGTCTCTCCCTCCTGCACCTCTCGTTCATCTAAATCTCTCCATTTTCTCTCATGCCCTCTTAACAAAGGAGTCCCATACTGCATCACACACAGTGCACCTCTCAGACCTCCAGCCTCCCTCTCGCCCTCCCAGCCACTGCAATCGTCGTGCATGCCGCCCTTACCTTACCGGCCTTACCTTACGCGGCCTCTCACCCTCCCTCTATCCCCCCCCACACAATTTCCCCTCTTCGACTTCCCCTCCCCCCCCTTCCACTCCCCCATCACTCACAGTGGATCTCTCGGTTCCCCCTTCCAGCCTTCTCGCCCTCTCAGCTGCTGCCATTGTCTCTGCTGCCCACCTCAGCTCACTACACCTCTCACCTTCCCTCTACTGCACTGCTCCCTCTCCCCTCCACCTCCCCACTCGCTCCCCATGACTCACTCACAGTGCATCTCTCTCTCTCTCTCCCTCTTCTCATGCCTGCCAACTTCCCTCTCAGCTGCTGCCATTGTGTTCTTGACTTATCTCTCCCTCGCGTGCTGCTTATTCTCTACTGCCCTTACTCGAATGGTCCGTACTCTCTCTTTCTCTCAATCTCCCCTCTTGTCTGGTTCCTTCCCCCTTCGGCATACAGTGGGCCTATCGCTCTCCAGCCTGCCGCTCACCCTTGCAGCTGCGGCTGTGGTCTCTGCAGCGCGTCTCGCCCTGCTCCGCCTCTTGCCGGCCTTCGCAGCTGCAACCAACGCGTCCAACGTGCGGGCTCTCTCGAACCTCAACGCCACGGATCTCATCTGGGTCTCCGTCCTTCCAGGGATATCTGAGGTACGAGCTGTGATTTTAGGTGCCTAAAATACCAACGCCAGGGCAACCTCAAGTCTCTTGATGCGGATCTCGTCTGGGTCTCCGTCCTTCCAGGTAGTCAGGGAGGGGCTGTGCCTCGGGAGAGATTAAGCCTCCTTAAATTCTCTACATTTCTTGCCCCTTCCGCTGTAACTGAAATTAATTATCCCTTCATCCCCCTCCCCACTCCCCCCACCTCCTTTTCTTCTTTTTTCTCAGGAGCTGCTGTTCCGCGGGGCTCTCTTGCCGCTGGTGGGGGTGAATGCAGTGGGAGTGATTGTATCAGGCGGTGTCTTTGGCATGTTGCACGTTACTGGCGATCGCAACCTCACCTTTGCTTCCTGGTAAGCCCCTCTTGTTCATTGGCCGACTGGCGAGCTAGCAGTGGCAGCAGGCGGCGTGGCCAGTGCTTCACTCTGATCCCTTCTCCTTGGCTACGTAGGAATAAACGCGTTTGGCGTTTTAAACGCTAGCGTTTAAAGGCTATCTTTTAAACGCGGGTGCTTCTGTGACGTGTCGTAGTGGCCGCAGGTGCCATTGCCAGTGGTTCTTTCTGATCGCCTCCGTGGCATGTTCAGAGTGGGGCAACAGGGGGCGTAGCTGGTTCTGTGCTGGCGCACGCACTTACCAATCGGGTTCCTGCTTCCAACTTGGTGTGTCATTCATGTTTTCCCTGCAATCACCCTTCCCAGGGCGTCGTGTGTGGGGTGCCTATATGGCGTGCTGGCCGTGGCAACAGGCGACATTACCAGTCCCATGCTTGCACACTCACTCGCCAACCTCGTTTCCGCTGGCTGGTGGAAATGGCAGCAGCAGCAACAGCAACTACAGCAGTAACATCCACTCGCCAATCTGGTTTTATATCAATCGTGAGAATAACGGCAGCAGCAGCCATAGCAATGGCAGGCGGAACAGCGGTACTGGATCTTGGTGTTACGGGGGTCTCAAAACAAACAGTCCAGGCAGCCCTGTACGGCGCACCTGCATGCGCCCACGGTCGGCCCACTGAGATCGGGTTGCCGAGGAAGGGGTGGCAAGAAATCTGTATTCAAGGGAATTGGCCCTTAGAGGATGGGCTCTGTTCCGTGGCATTATGAGCAGAGCTGCTCCTGTTAGGAGCCTAAATGTACCATAAGTTTTTTTTTTTCCCAACCGGCATAAGTGAGGAGGAGAGAGGGAGGTGGGAGAAGCACCTCAAGGAGATACAGGCTGTGGATATTGAGAAGGCGAAAGCAGCAATGCCAGCCTGGATCGGGGCGAAGTATGCTGATGCGGTAGCTAAGCTGAAACGCACAAACGTGGCTTCCGGTTCACTGCAGCAGCTGTAGCAGCAGCAGCAACCGTAGCAGAGTCGGAAGCACCATCTGCTGCAGCGACAGTAACGAATTTACTGGCTGGTGCATCATCACCAGCAAAGGTTTCTGTACCAGCTGCACCATCTGCTAGCATGCGAGGCATGGCTGGCAAGACCAGCAACAGCCAAGCGAGTGGGGCAAAGCGGGGAGAGGGGGGTGGGTGTGGGGAGAGAGCAGCAGGCAGGGCAGCAGGTGGAAGGCAGGCTGCTGTGAAGGCAGCAGGTGGGAGGGGCGGTGGCAGAGCAGTGGCAAGTGATGTGTGTGGCAGGGAGGGGGTGAAGCAGTTGGCCGGGAAGAGTGAGGGTTTGGCGCATAAGAGGCAGGTGAGGGCAGGGGGGTGCAGCAGCAGGGTGCACAGAGGGTCGGCATAAGGCATTGCGCCAGGTTGGCATATGATCCAGCTGGATTGAAAAATAGGTGCTGTAATGCAAAAGCATTTGTCTAGATTCTTAGCAAAGCTGCATTCCCAAGTCAGTTGCACTGATTGTGTGCACTTGTTACTAATCACACAATGTAAACATTCGACTTCCTTCTGAGAGTCTTAGAGGTAAGTGTTTATGGGAAGAATATGTGGGTGGTTTGATTCGAAGAGAAATTGCTATGTACAACAGAATGTAGTTTTCCAACTAATCGTACTAGCCCAGCTTCATTCCGACACTTCGACATTGTTCTTAACGCATCGCTTGACAGCGAATTCGCAGTTGCCTCCTCTGACACCAGGCACCGTTCCACTTTCCTCCCGTTTTCCCAGCGCCCGTATTAGTCACACCGTCCACCCCACGAGCCGCTCGAGTCAGACCGTCAGCAGTCAGGCCCAGAGCGCGCTGATTTTACCGTTGCAGAGGGCTTCCCTGAGGTCGACGGATCTCGGCTGGAAATCCCCGAACCACCGATATCCGCGCGACCCCCGGCGTGCGTCGCTGCAATGGCTGTGGGCGAGGCGACGCGCGTGGCGCTGCAGGTGTTCAAGGCGACGGGCGGGCTCGTGTGGAAGCGCCACCCCATGAACCACACGCGGCGCGCCAACGCCAAGACGCGCCACGAGCGCATCAGACAGGTGCGATGAATGTGTGCGAGAGCTAAGCCCCTTGGAATCCCACAAGACCCTTGGGATATTGGGTGGAGGGAGATCCTGGCGTGCCTCCAATGCGCACGGGCGTGCATCGCGCGGATTGCGCCGTCCGCCTGTGATGGCAGGACGTTTGAGACGATGTTTGAGGCGCCAGTAAAGTCGTCCTCCGCTTTGCTCCCCGCGCTTCCTCTCTTGCCGGCGCCTTGACATTTCCCAGACAGCCAATCCTCCCTCCCCCTATCCCCCGCGTCTCCCCTTCCCCTCCACTACCCAACCAATTAAAGCCCCCGTCTCATAATGACTAGAGTCACCCGCTTTCCCCGTCACTTCCATTGCGCCACGGACCCGCCTGGACCCGTCCGCTTTGCACTCCACGTGGCAGCCATGCGCGCAGTGCCTGCTGGCCAAACAGAGGTGCCGCCGCCACACAGAGCGAGGCGAGAGGAGAACCAATGTGTAGCCGCTATCACGGAGTGTACGCTCCTCTGCTCCCTCGTTCCCTCTCTCTCTTTCCATTCTGACGGCGCCCCTCCCCTCTCCTCCCCTCCCCTCCCCTCCCCTCCCGCTGCTCCCGCTCTCCGGCTCACGAGCAGGTGGAGCAGGTGTGTGCTGCCCGGGCCAGTGCCGCTCAACCCACCGTCTCTCTGATCTCCCCCATGTCCCTCTCTCCTCTCTTGCTCCTCTCCCCCTCTCCCCCTCCTGTTCACCGGCAGGTGGAGCAGGTGCTACGGGTGTGTGCTGCCCCACCCAACGGCTCTACTCGTACCACCGCCTCTGATCTCCCCCGTATCTCTCTCCTCGCGCCCTCCTCTCCTCCTCCCCACCTCTCCTCACCTGCAGGTGGAATAGGTGCTGCGGGTGTGCTGCTGCCCTCTCAACGCCACACCACGGAACCAACTGCCTCTCCCCCGTGTTTCTCTCTCTCCTCTCTCGCTCATCTCCCCCTCTCCCCCTCCTGTTCACCTGCAGGTGGAGCAGGTGCTGCGGGTGTGTGCTGCCCCTGCCAGCGCCAACGCCCTCAACCCACCGCCTCGGCGCCACAGCAAGGCGCCTCACCACCGTCCAGCACAGCAGTGCAGCAGCAATGACCCGCAGCACAGGCAGCAGCCTTTAGAGATAAAACCTACCGTGATTGCTCGAACGGCCAGCGCTAGCAGCAGGTAGTTCACGGCTGCCTGTATGTAAGATCATAGTACACTAATTTGGATGGGGAATGGTGGGGTAGGAGTAGTATATTGTTGATTCACAGATTTTTCTCGCTCACTGCCCAATGAATGAGGGACTGGCCTTGCCACGGATTTTGCCATTCCAAGCGGTACTAATTAAAGCCGCGGTACAAATATAGCCAGCAAGGTTCAATTGTTTATACCGTAAGTTGAAAGGCTAGGTTACCTGGTGAGGCAGTGCTGGCTAGGCAAGAGCTCGCCAAAAGCCGTGCAAAAACTTTGAACCAGAATGGTGCACTGCAAACCTCGAAAACTGTCACTCTGCTCCCTGTGCGTTTATTCCCCTCGCCTTGTTTCCTTCCCCCGAGCCCATTTCGTTTCCCCCCCCAGGCCCCACCCCGCCCTCACTTTCCCACTTCCCCCACTCCCGCCACTGCGTTTTCGAGCTGGAATATACCCAAGGGGCGATTTCGATTCCGCCTCGGGGCCCAGTAATTTCCGCCAGCTCTAGGTTTCAAAATGTTTTCCACACCCCGCCCACAAAACTCCCCCTGCCTTTCCCCCCTAGCCCGCAACATCCACCTCGGACCCACCGGGAAGGCCAAAATCAAATTACACCGTGGCGAAGCCACAAAATTCCCACCCAATCACGTGCTTCGTTCATTCCATACCACCTCGCTAAACTCGCAAACACCCAACTACCTCTACGGGTTTCGGGTTTTTTTCAATCTTGGACAGCGGCTTTAACATGTCACCAGCCACCGTGAATTCAGGCAAGGTAACTGCATTTGGTGTCTCATTCTGCAACTCAGGGGTAACTCAGTGACCATCAGTAGCGCACCTGTATCAGTGCTCCGCAGAGTAAGCACAGCAGCATCTGAGGAGCGTCAAAAGTTCAAAACCCACTCCAGCTGTCCCCAGGCTGTACAAGCGGATACTGCACGACCACGCATGGGCGGGCAGTAAGTTGGACTGCACGGCTGCACAGGAATGCAACTAACGCAGCAGCCCTTGGCATTGGCAGTGGCACATGTCTCTAGGAAGCAGCAACAGTAGCCTTGGCCACAGCTTCGGCAGCAGCCTTGGAGGCAGCTTCGGCAGCAGCAGCAGCGAGGCCAGCCTTGGCCATGGCGAGCACCCCTTCGTACGTGAGGTTGCCGCCGATGAACCCGCTGTTGTGCACGAACACGCCGCCCGGGATGCCCGACCGCTGCGACAGCTCGTCATCCCTTAAGCTCCTCCACTCCAGGGGAAGCGGGCAGCGGCTCTCAAAGCTGCCCGGCGCCACGGATATCGCCTGCACCCGCCACTGCTTTGCGCGGTCGTCCTGCGTGGGGAAGGGAAGGGAGTTGAGATGACGAGGTCACGAGAGGGAATGGCAAAAAGGGGAGAGGCAAGACACAGCCGCACGAGAGAGGAGAGAGGCTCGAGCGTAGGGTGCAGAGAGGCAGACGAGGCCTGTGGGCGCGGTCAGTGCACGAGAGAGGAGAGAGGCTCGAGCGCAGCCATTGGCAGACAGGTGCGAGGATGAGAGGACGAGAGGATGAGAGGATGAGAGGATGAGAGGATGAGAGGAGGAGAGGATGAGAGGATGAGAGGATGAGAGGATGAGAGGATGAGAGGATGAGAGGATGAGAGGACGAGAGGAGGAGAGGATGAGAGGACGAGAGGATGAGAGGATGAGAGGATGAGAGGATGAGAGGAGGAGAGGAGGAGGGGATGAGGGGATGAGAGGATGAGAGGATGAGAGGATGAGAGGATGAGAGGACGAGAGGAGGAGAGGAGGAGAGGATGAGAGGATGAGAGGATGAGAGGATGAGAGGATGAGAGGATGAGAGGATGAGAGGATGAGAGGACGAGAGGACGAGAGGAGGAGAGGATGAGAGGACGAGAGGACGAGAGGACGAGAGGAGGAGAGGACGAGAGGACGAGAGGACGAGAGGATGAGAGGATGAGAGGATGAGAGGATGAGAGGATGAGAGGATGAGAGGATGAGAGGATGAGAGGATGAGAGGAGGAGAGGAGGAGAGGAGGAGAGGAGGAGAGGAGGAGAGGATGAGAGGATGAGAGGACGAGAGGACGAGAGGACGAGAGGAGGAGAGGATGAGAGGATGAGAGGATGAGAGGATGAGAGGATGAGAGGATGAGAGGATGAGAGGATGAGAGGAGGAGAGGATGAGAGGATGAGAGGACGAGAGGAGGAGAGGATGAGAGGACGAGAGGATGAGAGGATGAGAGGATGAGAGGATGAGAGGAGGAGAGGAGGAGAGGAGGAGGGGATGAGAGGATGAGAGGATGAGAGGATGAGAGGATGAGAGGACGAGAGGAGGAGAGGAGGAGAGGATGAGAGGATGAGAGGATGAGAGGATGAGAGGATGAGAAAATGAGAGGATGAGAGGACGAGAGGACGAGAGGAGGAGAGGATGAGAGGATGAGAGGACGAGAGGACGAGAGGACGAGAGGACGAGAGGATGAGAGGACGAGAGGATGAGAGGATGAGAGGATGAGAGGAGGAGAGGAGGAGGGGATGAGAGGATGAGAGGATGAGAGGATGAGAGGATGAGAGGACGAGAGGACGAGAGGAGGAGAGGATGAGAGGATGAGAGGACGAGAGGACGAGAGGACGAGAGGAGGAGAGGACGAGAGGACGAGAGGACGAGAGGATGAGAGGATGAGAGGATGAGAGGATGAGAGGAGGAGAGGAGGAGAGGATGAGAGGATGAGAGGATGAGAGGATGAGAGGATGAGAGGAGGAGAGGAGGAGAGGATGAGAGGATGAGAGGATGAGAGGAGGAGAGGAGGAGAGGACGAGAGGAGGAGAGGATGAGAGGATGAGAGGACGAGAGGACGAGAGGACGAGACGAGGAGAGGATGAGAGGATGAGAGGACGAGAGGAGGAGAGGAGGAGAGGAGGAGAGGATGAGAGGATGAGAGGATGAGAGGATGAGAGGATGAGAGGATAGCCATAGCGGGAGATGAACACATTTGAGGAAGCGGAAGAGGAGTAGTATTGATGTGTGTAATGCGACGAGTAGGAGTGGTATGGATGTGCGCAAGGGCATCACCTCATACAGCATGTATTTGGGCAGAGGGTCGAGCTTCAACTCCCCTTCCAACTCACTCAGATGGCCCTTCCACTGCACGGAGATGACAACACGAACACGACACACGTACACATGGAACACATACAGAGATCACACGAGGGGAACTCGCAAGAAGGAGTGGCACGCTCCAGTGAACCAGTTTTACTGCTACAGCGAGCTCGCATGCGCAAGGTCGCATGGCAACCGTGTCCCCTCCTTAAGTATCCCTGGTGTTCGCGCCTGTCCGCAGTTCTGTGTTCGATCTGCAAGCTCCTATTCCTCACCCGCTGCTGCTGATGCCTCTGGAGGTTGCACTGCACATTTCACTGCCTGCACTCAACCAGTAAACAATCGAAACGAGGGTAACCCGGTGGTTCTGTGCTCGAGAGGCGAGAAGAGAACTCGCCACCCGGTGAGAACATGACGGAAGGCTGTGGAGTTGTGTGCAAATCCCATAAGCCACCCCCTAATGAGCCCCTGATCTTCATACCCCCGCCCTGCCAGATTTTGATTCCACCTCCCCCCACCCCCACTGGAATTTTGTTTCCACTGCATGGGCGAATTCACGCCCCCACCTCCGGCCACTTTGATTCCGCCTCCGCCTCAATTTCGCCGTCTCGTGTGCTGCATAGATTGCGAGTCCGCGCACCAATCACAGAGAGGCTTCACCCGCGATGGCCCCGCTCTCATCCCAATGTCCCCAGCCAAGGAGATTGCAGCCCACTCGCTCACCGGGCAGTACTGCTTGAGAGTGATGATCTCCGCGTTGCCATGCTCCGCCACGGCCGCCGCGATGCTGTCCTCCACTATGGTGCACGCCGGCAGCCAGCCCCGCGCCGTGTACGTCACGGCCTGGGAGGGGGAGGCACGAGGGGAGGTAGCAGACGGCAGACGGAGGCAAGTGGGCAAGGGGGGGCATGCCACCACCACAGGCGTGCACGGGCGCACACTGGCGAGCAGCTGCGGCAGTGTGAAGCACGGAGTGGGGGAGAAAGGTGTGCCAAGAGAGGGCAGAGATGGCCGGGAGGGGAGGAACGGGCGTTGGCTGATTCGCGCTCGTAGCCAGCTGCACACTGTGGTACAGGCCGCCTCCGAGAAGAGTGGTGGCAGGAGAGGGAGGCAAGGAGGGGAGTGTGAGATCAAGATGAGACAAGAAGAGGGGCGATTGGCAGTCACTACATGTCCTCTTCCTCCTTCCTCACCCCCTCGCCTCGCGGTCCTCTCCCTCCCTGCCTCACCCCCTCTCTCACCACATGTGCCGCACGACTCACCTCCACGAACTCCTCCCCTGCGAGCGCCATGGCCTTCTGGAACGCGGCGTCCTCGCCGTCCTTGGAACAGTGGTCCAGCCAGTCGGGGTTGAAGCGCCCCACGCGCGCCGGCAGGTGCGTCGTGATCACGTAGCGCGGCGGCTTGTCCGACTCAAACTGGTTGATGCCGTTGTCATTCGCGTCCAGGGCCTGGCAAAAGCAGGGGGGGGGCGAGAGTGGGAGAGTGGGGGAAGGGAACTGCCTGACAGGGGCGTGCTGTTCACATGGCGGGGAGGCTTGTCTGACTCAATTCGCTTCACACCGTTGTCAATGGCGTCGAGAGCCTGTTACAGGTGTGGGCAATCACAGGGAGAACTTGTTGGTAGATCTGCGCTTGTTCATGTAGTTGGGGGCTTCTCCCGCTCAAACTGTTTCACGACACTGTCAGTGGCGCTGGGCTGGTGCGTGTTGTGCACAGAGAGGAGGCCTGGCGCTCTCCAAGTGACGAATGCTGCAAGCGATGGCGTCCAGGTCATAGGAGGGGAGGAGAGGGGGGAGAGCAGCGAGATGATGGCGAAGCATGAGGGGCCGAGGGGAGGCATGAGGGGCCGAGGGGAGGCATGAGGGGCCGAGGGGAGGCATGAGGGGCCGAGGGGAGGCATGAGGGGCCGAGGGGAGGCATGAGGGGCCGAGGGGAGGCATGAGGGGCCGAGGGGAGGCATGAGGGGCCGAGGGGAGGCATGAGGGGCCGAGGGGAGGCATGAGGGGCCGAGGGGAGGCATGAGGGGACGAGGGGAGGCATGAGGGGCCGAGGGGAGGCATGAGGGGCCGAGGGGAGGCATGAGGGGCCGAGGGGAGGCATGAGGGGCCGAGGGGAGGCATGAGGGGCCGAGGGGAGGCATGAGGGGCCGAGGGGAGGCATGAGGGGCCGAGGGGAGGCATGAGGGGCCGAGGGGAGGCATGAGGGGCCGAGGGGAGGCATGAGGGGCCGAGGGGAGGCATGAGGGGCCGAGGGGAGGCATGAGGGGCCGAGGGGAGGCATGAGGGGCCGAGGGGAGGCATGAGGGGCCGAGGGGAGGCATGAGGGGCCGAGGGGAGGCATGAGGGGCCGAGGGGAGGCATGAGGGGCCGAGGGGAGGCATGAGGGGCCGAGGGGAGGCATGAGGGGCCGAGGGGAGGCATGAGGGGACGAGGGGAGGCATGAGGGGCCGAGGGGAGGCATGAGGGGCCGAGGGGAGGCATGAGGGGCCGAGGGGAGGCATGAGGGGCCGAGGGGAGGCATGAGGGGCCGAGGGGAGGCATGAGGGGCCGAGGGGAGGCATGAGGGGCCGAGGGGAGGCATGAGGGGACTGAGGAGCAGGGGAGTCAACTCAGCACCACACCGCACAGCACTTCACACAGCTAAGATATGGCTGCTAATGATCACACAAAAAACGTGTAATCCTTCTTCACGCTGTCCTCGTTATAAGCATTCACCTGCATGAAGGAGTGGCGAACTGCAAAGCATAACTACTTATCCTCGTTACAAGCCCTCTCATTACCTCCATGAAGGAGCGGTAGACAGCGAGGTACACCTTGCGCACATGCGCATGGTCCTTGGGCAGCCCCATGAGCGCCGCCACCACCTCCTCGCCGTAGTGCTGCGCGATGGGGGGGGGGAGAAGAGAGGGTGAGAGAGGGAGGTGGGTGGGCCATCTGTGTGGAGCGGCTCTGAAGATGGGGGAGGTGAGAGGGAGGGGAGAGGGAGGGGAGAGGGAGGGGAGAGGGAGGGGAGAGGGAGGTGAGAGGGAGGGGAGAGGGAGGGGAGAGGGAGGTGAGAGGGAGGGAGGAGAGCAACAGCAGGTGAGGCGGGGGGAGACACCTTGAGTGCGAGAAGGCAACGCATGAGGTGACAAGAGCATCGCTCAAGGTCCTCCCTCGCACGTCCCTTCATCCCTTCAGCCCTCGCACGTCCCTTCATCCCTTCAGCCCTCGCACATCCCTTCATCCCTTCAGCCCTCGCACATCCCTTCATCCCTTCAGCCCTCGCACGTCCCTTCATCCTTTCAGCCCTCGCACATCCCTTCATCACGCAACGACTCGCAACAGGTGTGCGTCCCAACGCGCCTGGAACCGCTCACACTTCGTGCTGCTCTCACCACCCCCCCCGCCAGCTCTGCTTCTTGTCACTGAGCCCCCTGGACGCCCCTTCGATCCAACCAAGCCTGCCCTGCCACGTTGTGAAAGCCCCTCAGCAGGCCGTTGTACCCCAAACCCCACACCCGGTACTCCCCAAGCCGCGCACCTTTGCTCACCTTACGACTCCCGCGCTGCTGCGCTTGGTGGCGAACAAACCAGTGTCCGAGCACCACGTTCAAGCCCCTCCCGTGGTGTGTTGGTCGCACCCGAAACCCTAAACCTGCACAGTGCACACGCTGTACCCTAAACCCTGTACCCCGCACCTTGTACACGAGCCCCGCGCTGCTGAGCTTGGTGCTGAAGCCGTGGCCGAACACCTCCTTGAAGTCCTTCTGGTGGTGGTCGTAGCGGTCCGTTGCAGGGTCGTACACGCCGCCCACGTCGATCACCGCGTCCAGCGTGGCGAGGGTCTGAAAGGGAGGCACGGGTGGGAGTGCGGGCGCCGCCTCACCGCACCTTCACAGTGGTTCTGGCGAGCAATTGAGGTGCCGTCCAAGGCCCCCCCGCCCATACCGCGCCCAGCGTCGAGAGGACCTGAGACGCGGCAGAGAGGGTGAGAGGAATTGAATCAAGCCCTGGCGGTTCCTTCAACGGCCCCTTGCCGGGTCGGTGGCCGGTCGTACACACGCCGCTCACGTCGATCACTGCATCGAGGTTGGTTGGAGAGGATCTGAAACGGTGGAAAGGGGTTTTGCGACAGAACGACGGGGGTGAGATGGAGGGCACAGTGCTGGCTAGCGCTGAAGGGCGGTTGACAGGTCGTCCTCGCGTGCCACGTGGATCGCCAAGTTCAGCATGAAGACGACCTGCGAGGCGGGGAGGGGTGGCGGGAGGAAGGGCGACGACAGTCAAGTCCCGGCGCTGGTGGCCGTCGAACGCCAGCGGCCCGGACCTGAGCGCGAGGGATGTCTTTTGAGGCGCCTCAAAAGTCGTCGAACGCCCGCGGCACGGACCTGAGCGCGAGGGATGTCTTTTGAGGCGCCTCAAAAGTCGTCGAACGCCCGCGGCACGGACCTGAGCGCGAGGGATGTCTTTTGAGGCGCCTCAAAAGTCGTCGAACGCCCGCGGCACGGACCTGAGCGCGAGGGATGTCTTTTGAGGCGCCTCAAAAGTCGTCGAACGCCCGCGGCACGGACCTGAGCGCGAGGGATGTCTTTTGAGGCGCCTCAAAAGTCGTCGAACGCCCGCGGCACGGACCTGAGCGCGAGGGATGTCTTTTGAGGCGCCTCAAAAGTCGTCGAACGCCCGCGGCACGGACCTGAGCGCGAGGGATGTCTTTTGAGGCGCCTCAAAAGTCGTCGAACGCCCGCGGCACGGACCTGAGCGCGAGGGATGTCTTTTGAGGCGCCTCAAAAGTCGTCGAACGCCCGCGGCACGGACCTGAGCGCGAGGGATGTCTTTTGAGGCGCCTCAAAAGTCGTCGAACGCCCGCGGCACGGACCTGAGCGCGAGGGATGTCTTTTGAGGCGCCTCAAAAGTCGTCGAACGCCCGCGGCACGGACCTGAGCGCGAGGGATGTGGGGCGGGGCGGCGTGGAGTTGGGGGGAGGGGGAATCGGAGGACGCGATGAAGCCCGGTGGTGGATGGGCCGTGGGGGAGGGGGGAGAGGGATGGCAGGTGGGGAGGGGTCGATCAGAGCCTAAGCGCTCCACCAATGGGCATCTGACACGTGGTAGAGAGATCACCAAACCGCGGCGATCACTCGTTCTGGCACATCCCCGGGCTCTCGTTCGCAGCTGGCTAATCCGCGCTGTAATCCTCCATCGATTTCATCCCACCTTCTCGTCCCTCGTTCTAGTCACATCCGCGTCTTTGAACTTCTCCGTGCGTCTCAGCAGGAAGCAACCCATCGCCTCGTCGCAGTGGAACGTCCCGCTGTGCGTCCCGATGCGCCTCGCACCCGCCGCTGACCCGCTCCCTGTAGCTGCCGCATCTGCCGCCGCATCTCCCGCTGCCGCCATCTTGGCTCGCTTCCGCGCCGGGGAGTCGTCGGCGGACGGGGGAGGTGACGACGCCAGAGAGGACGAGCCGCTGAATGCGGCGGAGAGTGCGGCGGGGAGTGCGTGCGCTGAGTGGCGCGCGGCGGGGCAAGCGAGGGTTGAAAGGCGGTTGAAGCGAGTGCTGCTGACGTGGCAGTGCGGGTGAGCGCGCGTGGCGGAGGCGAGTGTGAGGGAGGCGAGGCGCGCCAGCGGCGATGCGAGGGCCCGCATGGGGGTGGGATGATGGATGTTGATGACAGTGCTGATCTGAGTCAAATGTTTAAACAGACCAAATTATTTCATGACATGAAAAGAGTATGGGGATGTAGCTCAGATGGTAGAGCGCTCGCTTAGCATGCGAGAGGTGTGGGGATCGATACCCCACTTCTCCACATTTTTCGACCCGTTTACCGTTTTTCCTTCGATTTTCTTCCGCTGCATGTGACAGTCTTCCTCGCTTTCATGGCGCGGCACCAGCAGCCCTCTGTTTCGGTGGGCGGCAGCGGCGACCGTTGCTGCCGCTCTTCAAATCAGACCCGGCAAGTCACTCTTTCCCGTGCCACCAACCAGAGACTATCCCACCATCTCACCACCCGAACTTTTCGCGCCATGCCCCATGCCTGATCCCCGATGTGTGCCTCTCCGCCGTGCGCTCTCCGCCGTGCGCTCTCCGCCGTGCGCCTCTCCGCCATGCCACTGCCCGCCTCCCCCTCACCGCGCGCTCTTCCCGCCAGACCCCTCTCGGCTTCCCCCTAACTCGCACTAAGCCCCTGCCAACGACCCCTCCCTAGTCGCGGGCTCTTCCCGCATTGCTCGCTCTCCCCTAGTCGCGCGCTGTCCGCACCACTCCCCCCCCGCCAAGTCTTCCGCCATGCCTCCCTCCGCCTTCCCTTAGCTGCGCACTTCCGCCGCAATGCAACTCCCCGCTTCCCCCTGGCTGCGCGCCGTCCTGGGACTCTCCGCCGCTCTTGCGCTCGCCTGCCTCTACGCCGCCGTCTCCTCCCCTCCGCCTCCGTCCTCTCCGCATTTGTCTCCGCTAGCGGAAGAGGCGGGGGGAGCTGGGGAGAGGAAGACGGGAATGAGGGGGGAGCGGAGCTAGGCGCGTGGACGTCTGATGACCTTCTGGGAGGGGAGGGGGAAGGGGGGGAGGGCGGAGTGGGGCAGGGGGAAGTGGGGCGGGCGGACCTGTTTGCACTGGCAGCGGAGAAGGGGAGAGATGAGGGGGCGGGGAGAGAGGGGGAGGCAGGGGGAGTGAAGGGCGAGGAGGATGCAACGCTTTATCCTGCACTAGGTGACAGGTGGGTCCGTCTCAAGACCGGCACGGCCACTCCTGCCACCACTGCTACGTGCGGCTGCAAGTCGTGCACGTGAACATGAGTTATGGCACGGTGGGTGGAAAGCAAACATTTTCCCCTTCCCCTCTCCCTCCCCTTCATTCCTTCTCGCCTTCCCCCCTGTTCCCCCAGCTCCCCCGTGGTGGCGCTGCTAGCGGCGCACAGCAGGGCGCTGCAGCGGCGGGTGCAGGAGATGAGGGCGCGGGCGGAGAGCGAGCAGCGCTGGATGGACGGCGCTGCCAGGGACGCCCTGCAGGTGGGGGAGGGGGTGTGGGGGAGGGGGGAGGGGGAGAAGGGGGAGAGGGGAGAGGAGGGAATGAGAGGGGGGAGGGGAGCAGAGGGAGGCCCTGTTTGGACCTTCCTTTTCCACGTGCACCACAGTGACGCCCTCCTGTGTCGTTACACCCATCACCACCACCATCACCACCACCACCACCACCACCACCACCACCACCACCACCACCACCACCACCACCACCACCACCACCACCACCACCACCACCACCACCACCACCACCACCACCACCACCACCACCACCACCACCACACCACCACCACCACCACCACCACCACCACCACCACCACCACCACCACCACCACCACCACCACCACCACCACCACCCGTGTCAATGTCAAGCCCAAACCATTCCCACTCCTACCCTTGCTCCTCAGCCCCCATTCCAATGACCACTCCCCTCCCCTCAGCACCCTCCCACAGTCTTCAAGTGTCACAGCAACTGCAGCTCGGCCGCTCATTCCAATGCAATTCCATGCCCGTTGTTTCACCCCCTCACCCGCCAACCCGCACCCCTCCCTCACCCCTAACCGCCCTTCTCACCACCCCGTGCAGCAACTGCGCGCCGACCGCTCATCCCTGGGGGAGAGCATCCCCCTCCTGGACGAGGCGGCGGCTTCAGCCGTTGCCGCGCTGCCACCTGGCAGCGACAGCCTTGCGCAGATCCACGCCATGCTGGCAGCTGCACCACGTGTAAACGTTGGGGAGGTGGACGTGGGGGAGGGGGACGTGCTGGAGGGCGGTGGTGGGGGCAGTGAGGTGGAGGGAGAGAGCAAGGTGCGAGCAGCAGCAGGCGCATCTGAGATTGTGGAGGGGGCGGGAGAAGCAGGAGCTGCGTTGGCGAGTGTGGAGGAGGCGGTGGGGTCGTGCATGGACCTCTACTTCCTGGCGGACGCGCAGCAGACGCAGTTCCACATAGGTGCGCGGGGGGGGGAGAGGGGCGGGGATGGGAAGGAAGGGTGGGGGGTTCACAAGTGTCATTGGGGAAGCGGAGAGATTTGGGGGGCTATGAGGTGCTTTGCAGGGTGCGATTGTAGTCAGGTAGGAGTGCACTGAGTTGCTATGCTTCTATCCTAATCTGTTTAAAGCTTTGAGTAAGTGGTTAGAACCAAGCGAGAGGGTGCGCATTGTACTATAGCTGGAAGTAGAGTCGGGCAGCTCATGCTGACCCGTGCTCACTCTCCTCTGCGCCCCCTCTGTCTTCCCCTACCAATCCCTTCCCCGGCTAACCGCTCACAGCAGCAGCAGCAGCAGGCTGAGGGGGTGCCAGGGCTGCGGCAGTGCATGCTGGCAGGCGCGCAACCTCCCTCCCCGCGCCACCTCTTCCAAGCCCGTCCCGCTGCCCCGTGGCGCTGCCCCGCAACTGAGGTGCAGGCGACTTTTGAGTCGACTCAAAAGCTGCCCCAGCAACTGAGGTGCAGGCGACTTTTGAGTCGACTCAAAAGCTGCCCAGCAACTGAGGTGCAGGCGACTTTTGAGTCGACTCAAAAGCTGCCCAGCAACTGAGGTGCAGGCGACTTTTGAGTCGACTCAAAAGCTGCCCAGCAACTGAGGTGCAGGCGACTTTTGAGTCGACTCAAAAGCTGCCCAGCACTGAGGTGCAGGCGACTTTTGAGTCGACTCAAAAGCTGCCCAGCAACTGAGGTGCAGGCGACTTTTGAGTCGACTCAAAAGCTGCCCCGCAACTGAGGTGCAGGCGACTTTTGAGTCGACTCAAAAGCTGCCCAGCAACTGAGGTGCAGGCGACTTTTGAGTCGACTCAAAAGCTGCCCCGCAACTGAGGTGCAGGCGACTTTTGAGTCGACTCAAAAGCTGCCCAGCAACTGAGGTGCAGGCGACTTTTGAGTCGACTCAAAAGCTGCCCCAGCAACTGAGGTGCAGGCGACTTTTGAGTCGACTCAAAAGCTGCCCCGCAACTGAGGTGCAGGCGACTTTTGAGTCGACTCAAAAGCTGCCCAGCAACTGAGGTGCAGGCGACTTTTGAGTCGACTCAAAAGCTGCCCCGCAACTGAGGTGCAGGCGACTTTTGAGTCGACTCAAAAGCTGCCCAGCAACTGAGGTGCAGGCGACTTTTGAGTCGACTCAAAAGCTGCCCAGCAACTGAGGTGCAGGCGACTTTTGAGTCGACTCAAAAGCTGCCCAGCAACTGAGGTGCAGGCGACTTTTGAGTCGACTCAAAAGCTGCCCAGCAACTGAGGTGCAGGCGACTTTTGAGTCGACTCAAAAGCTGCCCAGCAACTGAGGTGCAGGCGACTTTTGAGTCGACTCAAAAGCTGCCCCGCAACTGAGGTGCAGGCGACTTTTGAGTCGACTCAAAAGCTGCCCAGCAACTGAGGTGCAGGCGACTTTTGAGTCGACTCAAAAGCTGCCCAGCAACTGAGGTGCAGGCGACTTTTGAGTCGACTCAAAAGCTGCCCAGCAACTGAGGTGCAGGCGACTTTTGAGTCGACTCAAAAGCTGCCCAGCAACTGAGGTGCAGGCGACTTTTGAGTCGACTCAAAAGCTGCCCAGCAACTGAGGTGCAGGCGACTTTTGAGTCGACTCAAAAGCTGCCCCGCAACTGAGGTGCAGGCGACTTTTGAGTCGACTCAAAAGCTGCCCAGCAACTGAGGTGCAGGCGACTTTTGAGTCGACTCAAAAGCTGCCCCGCAACTGAGGTGCAGGCGACTTTTGAGTCGACTCAAAAGCTGCCCAGCAACTGAGGTGCAGGCGACTTTTGAGTCGACTCAAAAGCTGCCCAGCAACTGAGGTGCAGGCGACTTTTGAGTCGACTCAAAAGCTGCCCAGCAACTGAGGTGCAGGCGACTTTTGAGTCGACTCAAAAGCTGCCCAGCAACTGAGGTGCAGGCGACTTTTGAGTCGACTCAAAAGCTGCCCAGCAACTGAGGTGCAGGCGACTTTTGAGTCGACTCAAAAGCTGCCCAGCAACTGAGGTGCAGGCGACTTTTGAGTCGACTCAAAAGCTGCCCAGCAACTGAGGTGCAGGCGACTTTTGAGTCGACTCAAAAGCTGCCCAGCAACTGAGGTGCAGGCGACTTTTGAGTCGACTCAAAAGCTGCCCCGCAACTGAGGTGCAGGCGACTTTTGAGTCGACTCAAAAGCTGCCCAGCAACTGAGGTGCAGGCGACTTTTGAGTCGACTCAAAAGCTGCCCCGCAACTGAGGTGCAGGCGACTTTTGAGTCGACTCAAAAGCTGCCCAGCAACTGAGGTGCAGGCGACTTTTGAGTCGACTCAAAAGCTGCCCAGCAACTGAGGTGCAGGCGACTTTTGAGTCGACTCAAAAGCTGCCCAGCAACTGAGGTGCAGGCGACTTTTGAGTCGACTCAAAAGCTGCCCAGCAACTGAGGTGCAGGCGACTTTTGAGTCGACTCAAAGCTGCCCAGCAACTGAGGTGCAGGCGACTTTTGAGTCGACTCAAAAGCTGCCCAGCAACTGAGGTGCAGGCGACTTTTGAGTCGACTCAAAAGCTGCCCAGCAACTGAGGTGCAGGCGACTTTTGAGTCGACTCAAAAGCTGCCCAGCAACTGAGGTGCAGGCGACTTTTGAGTCGACTCAAAAGCTGCCCAGCAACTGAGGTGCAGGCGACTTTTGAGTCGACTCAAAAGCTGCCCAGCAACTGAGGTGCAGGCGACTTTTGAGTCGACTCAAAAGCTGCCCAGCAACTGAGGTGCAGGCGACTTTTGAGTCGACTCAAAAGCTGCCCAGCAACTGAGGTGCAGGCGACTTTTGAGTCGACTCAAAAGCTGCCCAGCAACTGAGGTGCAGGCGACTTTTGAGTCGACTCAAAAGCTGCCCAGCAACTGAGGTGCAGGCGACTTTTGAGTCGACTCAAAAGCTGCCCCGCAACTGAGGTGCAGGCGCAGGGAGTGGGCAGGGAGTTGGCATTGCAGCCTCCGTGCTGCCTCATGGCCGCCCTTGTGCTGCCCTCCTCTTCCTCGCAACCCCCCTCCCTCTCCCCACCGTCCAGCAGCAGCAGCAGCAGCAGGCGGACAGGGAGGTGGAGCTGCGCCACATCATGCTCACGCAGCTGAGGAGAGCCTTCCTTCCCTCTGCCTCTCTTACTTGCACTGCTCTCTTCCCCTTCTCCCCTCACCAGCCTCCCAGCGGTTGCAGCAGGTGGAGCTGCGCCACTCCATGCTGACACATGCTCATGCCGTCTCCCCCTCCCCCCACCTCCTCTGCCGCTCGCTCTCCCCCCCCTCTCCTGTCCCCAGCGTCGCAGCTGCTACAGCAGGCGGACCGGGAGGTGGAGCTGCGGCAGTTCATGCTGGCGCAGCTGCGCGCCCTGGACGACCGCAGGGAGTGGTGGGCCGTGCTCAACCTCACCGCAGAGGAGGCCAGTGAGAAGCTCAAGACCATGGCTGACGGGGAAGGTGGGTTGTACGTGTTGAGGAGTCGTTGCGAGACTGTAGAGCAGCAGGGAGTGGTGGGAGGGGCTCAGCATTGATGAGGAGGAGGGGGCTGGTGACTTGGCTGGGGGCGAGGTGAGTGCTGCCGCATCACACTGCATGGGATGGGATGGCAGCACGCACCAGTGGGGGGCTCAAAGGCGTTGGTGAGGGGCGTTGGTGAGGGGCGTTGGTGAGGGGCGTTGGTGAGGAGCGTTGGTGAGGGAGAGTGATAAGTGGGGAGGGCTATGAGCGTGAAGAGGCAGCAGCAGGCAGCGGTGAGCACCGCGGCCGAGAAGGAGTGAGAGAAGCTTATGAGCATGGTTGAAGGAAGGGCAGCACACGCCTGGATGGGCTGAGCGAAGGGCTGTGAGGAGTGTAGCCGGTTGTACGACGTGCTGGGCTGGCCGGGCTTGAGTGTCGGGGTGCAGAGGCAGACGCGACTCTACTTCCTCTTCTGGTACGTTCCCCACAACACAAGGCAGTGGGAAGGGAAGGGAAGGTAAGCCACGACACTAGATGGCACTTGTCTCAGTCTCTCTTCTGGCACCTGCCCTCCCGTCCTCCTGCCGTGTCGTGTCTCACATTCCCCTCTTCTCTCTTCCCTCGCCATCCCTCTCACAGACAAGACCAAGCTGTCCGACTTCCTCTTCTGGTACCTGCCCTTCCGCTCCTGGTTCGACTCGGAGGGCCCCGACCACCCAAGGCTGTCGCACACGTGGAGCAGCAGCGCGCTGAGCTGGCAGCCGCCACATCAGCCGCCATGGCAGCAGAGGCGACCCTGAACGCCACGCAGGTGCGGCTGTGGGAGGAGTGCGGGCTGCACCTGCCCCACGGCAACTGGACCGAGGAGCAGAGCGCTCTCCTCCAGCGATACGCCGCTGTTGCCAACGCGTCCGGATGCACCGAACAGTGCGTGGACTGGGAGGCTATTTACCCCGAGTACGAGTCAAAACCGGGGCTGGTTGCCCCGAAGCAGGTGTGGCAGAAGCTGCCCGAGCACTACCCGGACCCCAAGGCGAACCTCTCCTTCCTCCTGACTTACACCGGCCGTGCCGACCGTGTAAAACCGCTAGTGCACCGCCTGTACGCGTGCACCAAGGGCATGCGCGGCGAGGGGGCGCTCCCGGGAATCCGCGCAGAGCTGTTCGTGAGCGTGGTGGACCCCGACGCGACGCTGGAGGCGTGGATGCACATGTGGAACGAGACGGACGAGGGCATATTCGTGGTGCCCGTGCTGCCGCGCTTGGGCGCCGACCCCCTGATGCTGAACGACCTGGCGCGCATGGCGCGCGGCGCCTGCTGGTGCTGCTGCACGGGGACGCGCTGCCCCCCGCTGACTGCCGCTGGCTGCAGGACGTGCTGGACGCCTTCGCCGCGTGGCCGCGCCTGGCACTGGCGGGGTACCGCACCGATGACATGCCGGTGCGGCGAGTGGACCAGGTGGGGAAGACGGCAGCTGCTGGGGAGAGTGTGCGGTTCTGGAGGGGGTTTGCAGAGGAGCGCGAGAGGGGGGGCGGCGGGAGTGGGGGAGGGAAGGGAGTAGGGGATGGGGGGAAGGTGGCTTGGAAGGACCCGGAGAGCGGTGTGCCAATGCACTTCACGGGGCTGGTGACAGGGTACCCGGTGGTGGTGAGGAGGGCGGTGCTGGAGGAGGTGGGGGTGGCTGGACGAGGCGGACGACAGGCAGGGGCACACGGCGATTATGACTGACTGGCACCTGTGCTCGCGCATGTGGCTCTCAGGCTACCAGGTGAATGCTCAGGTGCTTCAGGTGGGTGCTATGCTTTCATGTGGGTGCGAAGGTGTTTCAGGTGGGTGCTACGCTTTCATGTGGGTGCGAAGGTGTTTCAGGTGGGTGCTACGCTTTCATGTGGGTGCGAAGGTGTTTTCAGGTGGGTGCTACGCTTTCATGTGGGTGCGAAGGTGTTTCAGGTGGGTGCTACGCTTTCATGTGGGTGCGAAGGTGTTTCAGGTGGGTAGGGTATGAGGTGGGTAGGGTATGAGGTGGGTAGGGTATGAGGTGGGTAGGGTATGAGGTGGGTAGGGTATGAGGTGGGTGGTCAGCTCGTGTGCTGAGAGCATTAGTGCTGCCGTGCCATTTGGTTCTGCGGTATGCATTACAGGTGCCACGCCGTTGTGCTGCTGGCGAGCACCTGAGGCAGGCGCTCGTCTGCAAGTGTCCACATGTAGGCCCACTTCGGCAAGCCCCCTGTTCCCAGTGCGGATTGCTCTCGGAAATTCCTCAGGGGAGTTACAGAAGACACCTAAAGCTTCAGAATTCGATAGTGGCACACCGAATCTCCCCACTCTGAGTGTGCTGCGGAATGCTTGAGAACCCCACTCCGAGTGGAGGTGTGCGAACCTTCAGGGAGGATGCGCTCGCTAGCAAACCCCGCTTGGAGTTGGGCCAAACCACACTCCCTACCCCCTCCCTGCCTAAACCCTGGAGTGCGCCCACTCCACTCCGAGTGGGGGTGCCCATACTAGTCGTGCATCCCTGAGCGTAAAATGTGTCGGAACTTCCCAATCCCGAGAGCGAACCCGAGGCTATGAAAGCTCTTCGGGGTTCCCCCACTTGGAGTTAGCTCACTCAGAGTGGGCGTTGCGAACAGGGCCGTAGTCCATCGGTGGGTCCGCATGTGGGGAGGGGATGCACAACAGGGCCCTGTGCTCTCCCTGCCTGCTGTGCTCTTCATGTGTGCCGTGCAGGTGGCGCGCCTGCAGCTGCGCTGTGGGCGAGGGGGACCCCGGCGACTTGGCCACGATCCCGCGATCGCAGCACCGCCACGCGCTACCAGGGCTGGGCTCGCATGGTGAGGGGAATGGCCGGGCGGACTATGGGGAGTACGATGCAGCACTTGCGGAGTACCATGATGATATTGTGAAGGAGGTTGCGAGATTGAATTCCTTGTTGCTTCCCAATGATTAGCATCATCCCTCCATGGGGCCTTCCAGTCTGCTTTGAGGCACAACTTGAGTAAGGAATGGCTGCGATTCACATGTGATGATGCTCCACAGGCACAAAAGCTACGCTTGAAACCCTGAGAATGAATGCCTCCCTAAGCAAGTCAAGGGCAGGAAGACTGGCAAGTCATCTCATTACTCAATGCTGAGATTACGTCGGTTGGTGTCTTGCCGGCATTCCTGCCCCTGATGCTGACTCTGGTGGAGTAGCCACGCTGAAAGGCTCAATCCCCGCAACCGCTTGTATCCACCATGTTATGAATGGGACTGCCAAGTAGCACGGAGGGCAATGGCGAAACTGTGAACGAGTGAATGACAATAAAATGAAAGACAATACAATATATAGAAAGCCTAGGGTGATCCTGGACGTAGGATCGGAAGGTTCGGGAAAGGTATCGAAGGGCCTCGAGGTGTCGAAGCGAAACTGAAAGGTCTGGAACCCTGGTGATGGTTCGGGACTGTTCAAGTCGTACGTGTTAACGTAGAAACGAATGAATTACTAGGAAGAGAAACATAGAACAAATACCAGTTGGTTGTACTCACTAGAAGCACACACCTAGTCTAGCCTATAACTTCTACATAGATAATATGTATAAGTTGACACACCCCCTAGGCTAGACAAGGGGTGGAGCTAAGCAAGAAGCACACAGCCCAGGGTGGCACTACTAGTCCAACCACTGAGACAGGGGTCTGGACAGAGCAAGAGTACAAACAAGACTAAAACCAACCAGGGCGGCACTACTAGTCCAGCCACTGGAGGTAAGGCCACAAGGCCAGTCAGACAGGTATATATATAGTAGAGAGTACACAATCAGGGTCCTAACAAGTGAGAAGCTACAGGAACAAGACCAAGCTGTACACAGTGCCGCTGATGATCTCTAGGCGCAAGCGCCTTAGTAAAGATATCAGCTGTGTTGGCACCGGAGGCCAAGTGAACGACGCGGGCCTGGCGACGCTGCTGTAGCTCGCGCAGGAGGAAGTACCGCAGCTGGATATGCTTCGCCCGGCCCTCAAGTCGAGGCTCCTGACACAGGAGAATCATGGCCCTGTTGTCAGCGTACAGGACCGGGGCAGAACTAGGCCGCTCACCTAAGTCAGTGAGCAAGAAGGTCAGCCAGCGGAGCTCCTGTGCCGCCATGGCACCAGCGTAGATCTCAGCCTCACAGCTGGACTGAGCAACAGACGACGAGCGAGTGGATCTCCAAGAGATAGCACCCGAACCAAGGCTGAAACAGTAGCCCTGAGACGACCTAAGAGTCTCAGAGTCGTCTGCCCAAGAAGCGTCTGTGTGCCCAGTGAGGACCACTGGCCTGCGTCCTCCTAGCACTAACCCCATGCCCGATGTACTTGCTAGATATCGCAAAACCCTCTTAGCGGCCGACCAGTGCTGAGGTCGGTGTCTGCCAGTGGCCACAAAGCGAGCCAGGATGCTGAGAGGGTATGCAAGATCTGGGCGAGTGCAAGTCATCAGGTACATGAGGCAACCCACCAGCTCTGCGTAGGGGCCACTGGGCTCTACTGGCTCCTCAGGAACAGGAGCGGAGAGCCCATGGTCTACTGGAAGAGGTGTGGGCTGTGCGGAGGAGAACTGAAGACCGAACCTCTGAAGGACCTGACGCACCAGGTGTGACTGTGTCAGAGTGATGGTGCGTGCTGCTCTGTCCCTAGAGATCTGCAGGCCAAGATAGCGACGCAGCTCTCCAAGGTCAGTGCAGGTGTGTCTCTTCAGCAGCTCGGCCTTCACAGAGGCCAGTGCGTCCCTGTCAGCAGTAGCAAAGACCAGGTCGTCTACGTAGACAAGGATGTAGAACGGAGTCTGGCCGGAACGCACAAACAGCGACGGGTCAGCAGAGGACGGAAAGAACTGCAGGTCTGCTAACGTGGCCCGCAGCGTGTCGTGCCACTCGCGAGGAGCCTGACGCAGGCCGTAGACCGGGCGCCTGAGAAGCCACTGGGTCCCAGGGGGGAAGGTACCAGTGAAGCCCTGTGGTCGGCGCAGGTAGACCTGCTCGTGTAGGCTGCCCTGAAGAAAGGCAGTAGAGAAGTCGAGGGAGTGAAGCTCGTAGTCGCGCTGTGCTGCTACGTGTAGCAGCGCCCGAAGAGTGGTCATCTTCGGGGTCGGGGCGAAGGTCTGAAAGAAGTCAACCCCCTCACGCTGACTGAAGCCTCTGGCCACGTAGCGCGCCTTGAAGACAGGCGGCTCTCCAGGGGGGCGCTTCACCTTGAAGAGCCACCGACCATCGACTACGTTCACCCCAGGCGGGGGAACTGCGTCGACGTAAGTGCCGGTGGACCTCCAAGATGCCATCTCCTGCTCCATGGCAGCTATCCACTGAGAGGCCCAAGGTCCCGAGGTGGCCTCAGCGTAAGTGCGAGGGGTCGGGATGTCGAAGGCGTCTGGGTCACCCTCAGGGACTAACAGCATGGAGCAGAGATGGGGAGCAGCCTCGGAAAGGAAAGCAAGCTCGTACTGCCTGTCCTCTAGGACGTCACTGCCAAGGGCAGGAGCACCCCCGACGGACGGAGGACGGGCAGGGTCAGAGACCAGAGCGGTAGCGTAGTCAAGGCGGCGGGTAGAGGCGAAGTCAGCGACAGCAGCGACAAGCGCGTCAAGGCGCGAGACCGGAACAGAAGGGTCGGTAACAAGAGAGGCAAGAACCCGAGGGACAAGGGGACGAGCGGCACGGAGGTAGTCAGAGAACGGAGGAGGTGCAACAGCAAGCGACGAGGGAGGAGGTGACGGGAGGAGGGGAGGACGAGACGAGTGGGAACGGAGCAACATAGGGTGGGAGGGCAGGACAGGAGAGACGGGACGGGCACGTGAGGGACGACGAGACCAAACGTGGGACGGAGGTGTAGGGTCAGGAGACAGCGGAGGGGACACAGGAGGGAAACGAGGAGGAAGACGGGCCGGAGACGAGTCCGGCGGCGGGAACACAGGACCGTAGACAGGAAGGTCAGCAGGCGGTGGGGGAGACACCGGCGAGCGGTCAGGGGAGGGAAGGCCGAGCAGACGGAGAGCGGAGACCGGCGGCGACGGCTGCTGGGGCTGCTGCGGCGGCTGGGCCTCGACCCTCGGACCGGCAGAACTCTCAACGGCAGCACCCCCAGAACCAACACCCCCAGAGCGAGAACACCCTCCAGCACCAGCGGCACCCCCAGGCCCGCCGGGACAGACCACTCCAGGCGCGGCAGGACGAACACCCTCCTCGACGCCAGCACCCCCAGGGGCCAAGGGCGGCAGCGGCGGCGGCGGCGACGGCGGCTGCAGCGGCTGCGGCGGCGGCGGTGGCGGCGGTGGCAGCGGCAGGGAAGGCGGAGACACCGGGGAAGGGGGACGCGGCAGGGACGGGCCGGGGGGACCACCAGAGTCAGCTGACTCCTCAACTGGGACAACCGACGGGAGGGGAGTGACGTGAGAGACACCAGACGGGGCAGGACGAGGCGGGAGAGGAGCAGGGGCTACCGGGGGAGAGGGAGCAAGGAAGAGGGGCGGGGCAACCGGGAGACCTCGGTGAGGGAAGCAGCGGTAGAAGGAGACAGACTCGTCAAAGGTGACGTCACGGGAGTGGAGGAAGCGGTGAGACGGCGGGTGGTAGAAGAGCCAGTCAGACGAGTCTAGGGGGAAACCGAGGAAGACACAGGGGACAGTGCGGGCCGTGAGCTTGTCCGTACCAGAGGCACGAACGTGAGCAAGGCAACCCCAGACGTGGAACGCAGACGCGTCACCGGGGGACCCGGTCCAAAGGAGGGTCGGCGAAACCTGCGGCCGCTGGGAGCGGGGCCACAGGTTAAGCTGGTGAGCAGCGTAGCGGACAGCGAACGGCCACAGAAAATGGGGGGCATCGGCATGGATCATGGAGGTACGAGCCACCTCCATGACCAAACCGATGCGGCGCTCAGCAACCCCATTCTGCTGTGGCGAGTCCGGCAAGGTGTACGACTGGGTGATGCCCTCCGCACGACAGAACTGTCCAAGCCGACCAGAGGCGAACTCACCGCCACGGTCAGAGTGGAGACACAACACAGGGAGACCACGGTGAAGACGTGCAGCCACAACCCACGGGAGAAGAACGTCGGGCACGTCGGCCTTCCGCTCCAGGGGAAACACCGTGGTGTAGCGCGTGTAGTCGTCGACGAGCACAAGAAAGTAGCGCTCACCGCGCGGTCCGGGGACGGGGGCCGGGCCCCAAACGTCCAGGTGCAGGGTCTGAAGGGGGGCAGTAGCAGGACGCAGCGAGGAGGAGTGAGGAGCACGGCGGAGCCGGCCCTCGACGCAAGGCGTGCACGGTGGCGCAGTCGAGGGTGGGAGGGCAGGGAGCGACGCGGGGAGGCCTAAGACAAGACCGTGCTGAGACATGTGACGCAGACGTGGGAGAGCAGGGTGACCTAAGCGGTGGTGCCAGAGAAGGGACGGGTGAGTGAGGGACCGACACGAGCAAGCTGCAGCGACCTGGGAGGACGCACCAACCGGGGGGAAGCGGTGTCGAGGGTAAACAGACCAGACACCGGGTCCCGGGGGAACGTCGCAAGAGGGGAACCTGAGACTGCCTCGGTACAGACAGCGAACCGCTCGTGCCCAGGGAACGTGGTGGTGACGCCGAGGTCCTGAAGACGGCCGACACCAACCAGGTTCCTGGAGAACGAGGGAACGTGGAAGCCTGTAAGAGAGCCCGAGGGAACGGCTGGACAGGGAAGGGAAGTGGAACTGCGAGCGACGACAGGACCGGCAGAGGGGTCAGCGAGGGAGACAACCGCAGGTGCAGCAAGCGGCGTGAGCGTGGACCGGTCACGGAAGAAACAGGCAGAAGCACCGGAGTCGAGCGTGAAGGACAGCGAGGCAGTGGCAGAGGCCGGGGACGGGGCGGGTGCAGAAGCTAGGCTAGGCAACCTAGGCAGTCCTACGCCTGACGCAGCAGGGGAAGCTAAGCTACACAAGGGTGAAACACCTAAACTAGAGTACACAGGGTAGTAAGATCCAGCAACACTAGAAGCGTCAGCATACAAAGCATGCAAAGCAGCACCTATCTGATCCATGTCTAACTCAAAGATCGGCACGCCCTGGCGGAGCAGGCTGTGCCAGTAAGGGAGGTCGGGGCCGGCCAACGACGACGGATCGCGAGGCGGCGGAAACAGCGGCGGTCGGGTGCGGCGCGAGAGGCCCTGTCTGAAGCTGGTACTGGCAGGTCACAGCACTGGAGCCGCTGGTAGACGCCAAGCTGCGCGGGCCGCCACCACGGCCACCGCCTCCGGAGGTGCCGGGCCAACCAGGCGGGAGACGAGCCCACGGCTGCGGCGGGTGCTGCTGGGACGGCGGCTGCGGCTGGGGCTGGTCCT